AAGATAAATAATTTTTAATTCCTTTATACTTTATAGATATCTATATTCCCTTACAAACACAAATTACAATTCCTATCTTATTGTTTATTTTCTACTTTTAAACAATGCAAACAAGTTTAAACGCAAAAATTATTACGCTTAAACGCGAAAATTATTGCGATTTAACGCAAAAATATGATTGCGTTTAAACGCAAAAAGTATTGCGTTTAACTGCAAAATTGCTGCATTAAAACACAAAAGATTGCATTTACGCATTTGCGACTGGTCAACAGGGGATGCTTACTCTTCCTTGGTACTTGCCCCCCCCCCCCCCCCCTTGTTCTATTATACTAGACTACATTGTGTGCACTTCAGACAACGAGTAGTTGAACACATATCACTGCAACTGTTCTGTGTTGTTGTTATTAAGGAATAAATCCTTTCTCCGTTTTGCTTCATTAAAACCTGCCCATCATAAGATTAATGTCTTGACATTTCATACCACTTTATCCATCAAGTTCTTCTACAAGCACCTGATGAATTGACAGTGTAACCCCCTACAAATCCCCCCCCCCCATCCCAACTTCTGAAAATTTTTATTAGACACAAAGATTTATCAAACATCCTATGATTTCCGTGTCTATCATTCTTATATTTCAATATCTCATATAGTTTTTTTGGCTTTTTGTTATGATTTAGAGTTTGGTATATAAAGATACTAATTAAGGTAAGAAACGACATCTTGTAAACACATGGTACCTCGCTTCGAGGAATGTTCTGAGTGAATGGAATTAAGGTAAATAAACTTGAATTTAGGGGCAAAAAATTCATTTTGACCGGGTGTGGTTGTCATGGGCTTGTTAAACAATATCTACCTAAAACATCTTGCAAAAAATTCATTGATTATAATGTAGTTACGTAGAAAATGTCCATCGAAGCTTAGTGCCCTACGGGTAAGCAAGATTTTGTTTCTTACCTTTAGCATTTTATATACCGAATAGGATCAATCTCTAAATCTTAACAAAAGTGGAAGCTTATATCAGCTATCAAAATATAACAATGGCTATCCCATCTTTGATGGTTTAGAGATCCGTATTAGTTCTGCTGCTATTTTATATTGTTTAAAGGACTTTTGATATTGAATACTGTTCTTTATCTCTAAACTTTCATCTGGAAACATCTTTAACACATTAACCTATGTATAGAAACATTATTAAAATTATTTTGTAGTTTTGAAACATTGAACTATGCATTTGGATAAAAAGGTGAAGAAAACAAAGATTGATCGTATATATATACAAGCTATACAAATGAATGAATAAACCTTAAAGCATAGAAATTTCACACGTAAAATCAGTTCCCTAAGATAATTAAGAATGCTCTGTTGACCTGTATAATTATTAGTATCAAAATAAGTATTCGAGGGGTGAATAAAAAGTTCGCGAACTACCTCTATATTTACAAAACTGCAATTCAGATCAGAATGAAATTTGGCACGCATAAAGTCATACACATTATGTTATATTTTATGCATATTTACATGTACTCTGATATGTTCACTGCATGTAAATTTCTAGTCAGTCTCAGGGGGATCACACTTGTACCTTTCACCTGTGTACATGTAACCTGTATTGTTTAATATTAGATGATCCCCCTTCATGATTTGTTATACATTTTACTACTAGTATATGTCATTGAATAAAATGACATATTCGACAAAACTGCATATCTGTGTTTGGTTGTTTTTCACTGCACTTTCAGGCTGATATTTCTCATGGGAGGCATAAAACAATATTATCACAGATAATTCAATTTATGCCGCTATGAGAAATATATTATATTTTACACCTAAGGATAATTCTGCATATCCCTACGCAGTCTGCAGGAGATGCGCCCTCATCGCAGCGCAATTATCATAGAACCTTTCATTGCGAAATCGCACCTTATTTTGCTTGACAGAGTTATCCAATCAAAATCCTTGATTTTGTTGCGCCATTTTTGTTAGCCTGGCAGTGCATTGAAGAAAAAAAAACCCACCACCCACCCTTTTTCATTTTTGGGGTTTTTGGTTTTATATTATTTTGCATTTTAGTCCAGATTTGTATTTTTCTAACTAACTTGTCATATGTTTCTTGATTGGCGCAATTGTTTGAACGCCCCCAAAGATTTACTCATTTATGTTATATTTTATGCATATTTACATGTACTCTGATATGTTCACTGCATGTAAATTTCTAGTCAGTCTCGGCGCAATTGTTTGGACGCCTACAAGGATTTACTCATTTATGTTATATTTTATGCATATTTACATGTACTCTGATATGTTCACTGCATGTAAATTTCTAGTCAGTCTCAGGGGGATCACACTTGTACCTTTCACCTGTGTACATGTAACCTGTATTGTTTAATATTAGATGATCCCCCTTCATGATTTGTTATACATTTTACTATATGTCATTGAATAAAATGACATATTTGACAAAACTGCATATCTGTGTTTGGTTGTTTTTCACTGCACTTTCAGGCTGATATTTCTCATGGGAGGCATAATAATTTTTACTGAGCATTTTTTTTAAAAAAACTTGTCTTAATATTATATTCTTCTTTCTCAATTTGAATATAGAATATTCTTAAAGCTGTCTCATTAGGCTCTCAATACAAAAAAAACTCCATAATGCATGTTTACTTTATACGAAGTAAGTAAGTGTTATATTTATGTCCATCTATTACGATTATAAAAATTATATGTATATTGCATATAATATAAGAAAAGTAAATGCTAGAAAATTTTAAATTTTGGAATATACTTGTCTGATTTTTCTTCGGCGATTTTTAAAACGGCATCAGCAAAAACATCAGGAGTTCTCATGACAGCTGAGGGAGTCTGGAGCTTCTCCGTGACAAAGGCTTTAATAGCGGTAGCTGGCCACAAGGAGGATATAGATACCCCTGTGGAGGAAATACAAGGCTCAATAACTAATATACTCATCAGACATTCTTTTAAATATCAGTTATAATCAATACCAATCCTTCATTCCAAAAACTTGAAAATTAATGGCCATTCGTGGTTTTAAAAAAAAAGTTCTTGGACGAGAGTAGCCAAAACAGTATTTTTACGCCGATCTTAAACCCCCGTTCACACAGAGCTGCGATTTATTGTTATATATTCCTTTAATATGCATGTATATTTTTTCATGACTTATTTGGTATGCAGTATCGGCGTTAAATTTATAACAATTTGGCAAATTATGGTCTTCGTAACGACCGTTTGATATAAATGTCCCTACGTCAAATGCGTTGCTAACACGCTTCTACTACGATGTTACGCAGACTGTTGCCGCTGCGTTGCTACTACGACATTGAAGACCATACTACGACGCTACACAGACCTAGATGACTGTACCGCGATGTCGCTAAGGTAGTGCCGATCATATAACGATTGTATTACGCTTCTAGTACGATTTTGGCGATGATGGAAATATATCTTGCAACCGCAGATTTTTGTAGTACGATTTTAGCAATGCGACCGCAGTTTTTTTGCGGACTACCAAATTGTTTACGGGCATTTTCAATTGTAACTGTAACAAGATGTGAAAATTTTCCATTGCAAAAGAACATCAAGTATAGTGTCACCCTGTACATGTAGTTTACACATGATGATTGGTCAAATATAAACGCTATAAGAACAAACTTCTGTCTGATAGGTCGTGATATGACACAAAAATTAAATATCATTGTAATTTTTTCTTCAGGAACTCTAGAGAGATCGTAGTGAGGACGTATACAAACATGTTAAGGTGCTTTTTTGCTTGTGCTGATTCCATAAGCTAATTACCTACTGTAAATAGGAGGTGATACCAGTATTATCCTTCCTGAATTTCTTTCGAGGAAATGCCTGTACGATTACGGCGCTTCTATATGCTCCTTTGACATTCACCTCATGTAAAAGCTCAAACTTTGACAATGTCGTTTCTATAACAGGCTTCCATAAAATAGCTCCTGCGTTGTATACTGCTAAATCAAGTTTACCAAACCTATAACCAACAAACAGACATTCAACAAAAAACAAAAATAAACAAGATGTGTTTGTGAAACACTGATGCCCCCGTATAGCAACATAGCGAAAGTTAAGCTTTCTCAAATGCAGATCAAATATCTTGGTACCTAAAGTAAGGCCTTTTCACAAGAAATACAAATGTGATATATTCCTTTAATATGCATGTATATTTTTTCATGACTTATTTGGTATGCAGTACTGTTTAATGATTTATAACAAAAGGAAAAAAACCTTGATTTTATGTTTGATATAAATTATCTAAAACATAAAACAAACGTAATTATATTTCGTTTTTACAATATAGGTTGTAATTTATACCTGTGCCTTTTAATTCATTAGCAAGACCATGAGTAAGGATGGTCATTCCAATCTTACTTATGCTGTATGGCGTCTTGCCTTTAAAAAATCTGTCAAAACAAACAAATGTAAACTGCCCATTCATTTATTTAATCAATATATTTCAATCAATAAAATATGAAATCCGAATTCAGTAAACAATAGCCCTCATTGATTTTAAAAAAGAAATATTTGTTGAGCAAACACCATAATGGAGTTTTTAATGACCTTGGTGTTTTGACCGGAAGAGGTACATCACTTCAATATCAAAGTGCACTATCTATGTTCCAGATATTAAATATATGTTCTGCATTATTTAAACTTTATCGATTTTAAATTGAAATGGCTATATAGGTAAACGGTGTTTGTCATAATTTCTTGAATTAAAACCACAAAAAATAAATATGTAATTTAAATTTTATTTTTTTTATAAACAAACTAAAGTATACCATGTGTACTTTTTTGTGTGATTCCAATAAGCCAATTACCTACTGTAAATAGGAGGTGATACCAGTATTATCCTTCCTGAATTTCTTTCGAGGAAATGCGGGAGCACCTCTTGTACCATGGTATATGCCCCTCTGACATTCACCTCATGTAAAAGATCAAACTTTGACAATGGCGTTTCTATAACAGGCTTCCATAAAATAGCTCCTGCGTTGTATACTGCTAAATCAAGTTTACCAAACCTATAAAAACAAACAAGAAATTTTTGTGTAAAAGTGGGTCATTTGTCACAAGGAATACACATGTGAAATATGAAAGTCCAACAAAAATGCAAAAATAAAAAAATATTAATACATAAATAAAACAAAAGAAATTAAACATTTTAAAAAAATACAAAAATGTCCTTAATTGGAACCAAATTATATGAGTTTCTTTTTATTTTCCTTTGTTCTTGTACTCTTCTTTTCCTCTGTCCCAAACATTTGTTGAATCAATTTTCTTTAACATAACGTGAGTTTTCACTGTAAATTGGAAATATGGCCAATTTATACGTACTGTTTTATACAGGTGGTCACAGCATCCTGAATGTCACTACTCTTTCTGGCATTGCATTTGATTGGTATTGCAACTCCTCCTTCGCTAGTGATGTCACGCACTACATCATGGATTGAACCCGGAAGTGATTCCTTGGAGACTTCCGTTTTTGCAGCAACGCCCACTGAATAACCATTTCTAGATAAAGTAATGGCAACTTGTTTACCTATTCCTCGGGAGGCTCCAATCACCAAAGCAGACTTCATGTGATTGATAACTGTACGTACATGTAAGAACGTTTCCTAAAAAGCAAATAAAAAATTGCAAAAATACGTGACTCCTAAGATCGCAATATTTGACATATTCAAAGAAATGGGTGATAAAAAAAAATTCTATCAAGATCACAAGCTACTTGTAACATTTTTTGTATCCGTAAAACAAAGTGAATGGGTTCAAGCACATGTAGCTCAAGCTTTGGTTTCTATGAAATGTTTCTAATAAAATGTTTCTAATAAAACGTTATCCATACACCTTTAAAAGTCAACCTCAGGAATTGTTTACTATAAATTATATTTTTCCCTGTTTTTTTTTTTTTTTGGTTTTTTTTTTTTTTACAAACATGTAGGTTCATCCAGGTAACTTATTCAGAGTGTTTGAGTTGTAGAACATATTTTTGTTCACCAGAAATGACAGGATAGCATTAACCTTTATTCTCTTCATACCAGATTGAACATAAAGCTTGGAAATTTTTTCCCACTGAGCCTGGTCTGGGGTTGCACGGCATGCCGGGTTCCAAGAGCTCCAGCCAACACCGTCCCATTGGACATTCAGTATCCGTTGCATGCATGTTGCCTTTGGGCGGCCATGCTTCTTTCTTTCTCCAGGCGTCCCTTGAAGAAGCCGCAGCACAGTTATCCATTAGATCCCTCCTCAGCTATCTCTTCCTTGATGTTTACAGTACCTCCGCCATCCTTGTGGACATTGGCGCCAAAGTATGGGGAACTATTTATTTCTTCGGCTTCACTTGCTTTTTACTGCCAGGCTGGCTTCACTCTTGCTCTTTGCATTTTAGCATTCAGCTTCATCCCAACCTTGGCGAAGCAAGCTGTCTTCCAGTTTTGTCGTCTTGAACATGAGATAGTTTATTATTGATGACAGTAGGACAATGTTATCCCCAAAGTTGAGGTTTTCAAACAAGGTGGTGAAGTCCCATCGAATTCTTCTCTTCTCTGACTGACTTGCATCATCCAGTCTATCATAGGAGGAACAAAAAAGCTGACTTACAGCAACCTTGTTTGACACCGGTCAGGACAAGGAAAGGAGCTGTGGTCTCTTTGTGAACAATCTTAGAACACTAAATGTCTTCATATAGGACTTTGACTAACTAAATCAATTTTTGGGGTATTCTAGATTTTTTTAACGATGGCCCAAAGGTTGTCGCTTCTCACTGAGTCGAACGCTTTCTCAAAGTCCACAAAATGGGCGTACAGAGTAACGAACTACTTGTTAGCTTGCTCCAGGGCGTCCCTGAGAATGAAGATCTGGTTGACAGTCCTTCTCTGAAACCCTGCCTTCTTTTTTTGTATGGTCAACTCTGGTATGTAGCTTTTGATGAAGTTTCAGCTCGGCACTTTTCTGGATTTTGCAGATCATTTCCATTTCTTTTGGCCTCTATTCTTTCTCTTCACTGCTGCTGTTTGCTACTCTGTCCTGTCAGCTACTTTTCAATGTTGTAAAGTTGCTTTTGATTTCCGTTTTGGTTGCTTTCTGTGATCGCTTGGTTTTTCTCTCTGTCATTTTCCCCTTTCCTTCTCTCTCATAATTCTTGTGACTGCAGTGTCTTTTTTATCTCTATCTTAACTCTTTCTGATCTTCTGCTCTCTATCTTTGCCTTGATGCCTTTTTCTTTCGTCCATCATCTTCCAGGTGCCTACACTGACCTAAGACTTGTCTGACGCCGACTTCTTCCTCTGCTGAATTCGCTTGGCAATCTTCTTCTGCTACCACATTTTCTCGAAAACTTCAATTTCTTCTGTTTTCTTTTCTTTCTCACGCAGCCAAAGAATTTTTTTTTTTCATATTTTTGAGCCGCTCCACATCAAATCTGGGTTTCAACTTGTTCTATTCTTGAGTGTGTATACTTCAGGAGGTTGCTGTTGCCATACGCGCCTCTCTTAACTTTGATGTCAAGAACAGATTTCCATTGCCCACTAATGAGAAGGTGGCCAGTCTGTTTCTCCATCCTTGCAGTAGCAAATTACCCGTGCCGCTTTGCGAATGCCTTTATGCCTCGGTAGAATACACAGATATCATGATAGTTGTACGTGCTTTTGTCGTACATATATTAAAACTATCAAAAATGTAATGACAAGTGTTTATTGATTTTTGATAGGCTTAATGATTTCAGAAAAATGTAATTTTTTAAAGATATGTTGGAAAAAAATAGAAATATATGCTCAACTATTAGATTGGTTGTCCTGTTTCAATATTATGACCTAAAGCTAGTTCTAACTGTAGTATTTTCTTCAAAGACACAATAAAGAAATGATGTAGATTTTTTTTTAGGAAGACTGAGTTGAGCCAGCTCCTCCCTCTGTTTTTGTCAACAGAAACAATTAATTATTGTAAATAATTAATATTCACCATGCATGTCAAACTTGGGGGACATTTTCAATAAACTATAATTATATACTAGTAATACAATTTTTCAGCTCCATTAACGAAATAGATAAATTTCATAATTATATGGAAAGTGTACGTTTCGGTTAAATAAAAAATAAGCATGCATATACGTTCTAATAGTTATTTTTTGTTCTTGTTTCCTAATTTCTTACTAAATTAAATTTTTAAAAAATATATTGGTTTAAAATTTTGCCAATTACAAAAGCATTGGATTCATATGAAAAAGATTTACAGCATGAAGGAAAACTTATTCTTCAAAATAAAGGGTTAATTTTATTTTCTTATGATATGACGCCGTAACGGAAATTTGAGTAGTGAATATATACATACATCTAACGTGAAGCAAATTGACGCTAGTCATTTTGACTTCCATTGCCTGCAACAATCAAGGGATGCGTTACAACCAAAATTTTTACTGTAAACAAATCAGTGTAATTTTCAAGGGGGAAATATATTCATTTTGGATTTTAAAATATAAAGTTATCTTTCCTCTCCTACAGGAAAACTCAGCTTTAAAATCATTATAGTTGACATAACAAAAATACATTTGGAATTTACAAGTACAAAGGTCCATTTTAGTGATCAATATAATGCATATATGTAGTTCGGTATATGAAATCCGGGATCATAGCTCCGTTTTCGGTTTTAGCTTTTACATACATATTTACTTTCACTTTCCAATTATTTGGATGTCTCTGCATTATACAAGTCTGGTAAACTTCTTACATAATTTTTGTACCATTTAATTTTACTGAAATATTTACCTTACTCCGCTCAATTCCTCACAGCCTTATCCAGCAATGGTTTATCTTCTCAAGTTTAATATCTAGGATCAAGTTCCGACCCACTGTTCCAAAATTGTAAATGCCGAAACCTCGATGGAAACTATGATCACGACATTTTGTCCCGTTTCTCGATCGCCAGGTATTCGATATTTTTCTATACACAAGCAGTTTCCAAAAGTTGAAGGTCAGATGTCTCAAATGCATGATAAACATGTTTGGTAAATCAACTATTACATACGTTACTATGGTAACAAAGTATTCAAAAGTAAAAAAAAATATTCATTGAATTTTATAAAGTCATACACGTAAAAATCAAGAGCAATTATAGGATGAAATGTGACCAAATATTTGAAAAAAGAGTCTTGAAACATATACCAAGAACAAAATATGATATTTCATTTTGGTTGGCAATGGTTGCCAAGGTTTTAATACCACAGAGAGCCTTCAAAGTAACTCTCTGTATGTTTCAATCTGATCCTATCTTTTAAAAAAGCACATTTCCTCATAATTGATGATCAATTTTTGAAGATGTTGGTGTGCTCTAAGTTTTCCCATTTGAAAAAATTTAGTTTAGATTCTTTAAATAGAGCGTTGCTATGGAAATAAGCAGAAAATATATGCTTAAAAACCTGAAAAATATTTTCTGTCCTTGGATACGTACCCCTAAATGTAGATTCCCAAAACTTTTATGATTGATATTTATTAACAGCTTACCTGACTTTTAATTTTGACTATCATCCAATCTCTAAGTGGATGCAAGAAGTTGGTACACAGGGTTTAATATTAATATAAAGTTCACAAAATCGAACATTTTCCCTTCTTGGTAACCATAGCAACAGTGTTGTTTTCTTCATCAAATTTTATCAATATATGATATTCAACTTCAGTTCTAACAGATAAGTATGATTCAAGCTGAGTCCTTTTATTTGTTTCTTGGTTATATGGCAATTTAATTCTTAATGCAGCGAAAAATAATTCACTTTTAGGCACTGGTACTTTGTTTCCATGGTAACACTGCAAAGTAGCAATTATACCCAATTTTTCTTATGGTTTTGGTGTTGTAAGGTCCTAGGGATGCATATTTGCCAGTCTTGAGTTTTCATGTTTTTCCTCAAGAGAGTAGCATTAACCCAAACTTAGTTACTGGTTTTGCATGGTAACACTGTGTTACCATGGCAACCATAAAAGTTATTTATAGAATAATATTGCTTATACTTATATACTTAAGGTCAAACATTTTCATTGTTTTTCTTAAGTCGTTAATTGAGTTTGAGCATGTAATACCTACCATTAGTGAATTCGGAGTGTTTTTCAGCATATTTCAGCATTTTAAATGTATTCCAAATGTATCCTTGGTTATCACTTACTTAGAGATATATTCTAAACATTTTCTTTGCAGTATAAGTGACATCAAGGTGTCATGTTTTTGTGAGAATGACTTGTTTGCTTTTTCTATTTTTTATTAAGCCACAGTCAAGATTTACAGTGGCTGAAAATCTCGATTTTTCAAACTTTTCCGACTGTTGCCATAGCAACCGAGACACATAGCAACGAAATTTTGTTTGATATTTGTTTCTGGTGTCAAGTACTAAGCATGGGTGAAGTTTCATCAAAATCGGTGACCATGCGTGGCAACGAAGTTTAAGTGGTTACAGAGAATGGCTATTAAGGAAAAAAAATATTAACTGATTTGTAGATCTATGTGTAACTTTCATGAAAAGAAATTAGTCCATGTTTTTTAAAAAAAAATGAAATCAAGCACACAAAATGCATGATAATATTTGCTCGTCTTTGGGCTGGATATTTCATCAATTACACTGATTTATTATCTGTAGCTTAATTAGA